AAAACGGAAAATATATTGTGCGAACCTGCAGTTATTCCAACTAATATGACACGTGACTTCGGAGTTAAGTCTCTGATATGCTGATGTGTGTTTCTTTAATCAGCAATTTGTTCTCTGAATTCCAGCATCTGAGTCCTTGAAAGCAGCAGTGGGGGCGTTCGTTCCAGGGCTCTGGGCTTCCAGGCACGTCTGTTATCAGTTTGTGGACTTGAACCAAAATGGCCGCTGCCGTGCTACAGTTTCAAGCCACTGGGCAAATTTCATTACTCTACCAAGCTGATCTGACACTGACATGCCATTTGAGCAGTCGTTTCAGCGCCTTTAGGTATTGCATGTGAATTTAAGTGCAGGGAATCACATACTGCTTGTAATATATTGATGCATTAACTGAAGCTTGAAGTTGACCTGAACGACCTCCCTTGTTAAAGTGGAATGCAGAATCAGATTCAGTTTATGTTTTGCCCCGATTTGTTTAAGTCATCACCCCTGTTTTATTATTCAATAAAAATTTTAGTATTGTTCAGGATTTTATGAATAATTGATTTTAAGATAGTGGCCTATTTTGCCATTTTCCTCAGCATCACCGAAACAACACATTCCACTGAATGATGGGCTCGGGGAGGCGGAGGGCACATTAGTGTGTGGCACTTTTCAATTTGTCTGTCACTGCAACTTTGGGAAGAAGCGGTGAAGTCGTCTTTAGTGAGCTATTCCTAATGTTTGATGTATTTTCTTGCCAGCAGAGGAGTTGGAGACCAAAGTTGATGCCATGTCTTTGATGAAGATGCACTGATCCTGGTAGATCCTGCCAAAAGGGGGAGCTGTATTGCTTTCTCATCTGCCAAAATTTGTGGATAGGTAGCGCGTGTGGGTGTGTGTCTGTGCACACGGACGGGCAGGGGGACTTTGTCCAATTACCATTCTGAAATTACACAGGGTCACACTGCATTACTGGAGTCGCTAAACCACACTTTTCGTCGAGCCTCGTCCTTAGCTGACTTTGACACAGCATTAACACAATGCATACAATTAACACATTTTAATGACCATGTCGCTAATTAAAAATAAGCTTTATGAGTCGCAAGCATTCATCATCAACTGTGAACTGAACCCAGTGTGGGTGTGTTTGTGTGTGTCCTCTGTGGGTTTTAATCTAAGTCTGTCACCATCATCTGCCTGTGAACTTTTTCCCGTCTTTTTTGTCTTTTGGCATGATTTCTAGCGCTGCCTGCATATAGGGTTGTATGCAGAGGAATGTTGTGCTTACCCTGCAAACACAGGTCATTTTCATTCTGGCCCACGGCAGATGGGATAGCAAGGACAACAATAAATTGTGGCTTTACATCTTGTTTTCACAGACAAGCAGCAAATTATCTCTAAGTCCCAGCAGCAGTGTGCTGTGAGGTTCCTCCAAGAGCCAACATCCATCTCACTTCAGCCTGCCTGCCTGTCTTCTTCTCTGCTCTCCAGTGACTGCTTTGCTCCTCGCCAATCCTCAGTGTGTGTTTGAGTCAAAGTGTGTGCATGTTTGCGTCTGATCTCTTCAGATTGCTTGCCC